AAATTGACAACTATATTTACTTTCTTACCCAATTATATTCAGGCCCATAATATTTTTATGTACGAATGAAATAATATATATTTTACAGTTCAATATAGAAAGAAATACTCTTTAGGTAATAATGTAGTAATGAGTTTGTCAGATCCAAAGGACATGCAAACAACACAATACCTATCTACTGTTAAAAAACAGATGGGGTCATAAAAATAAGCTTGCCATTATTATTACCACTATTTTGTGTTTTTTATCATCACATTTTACTGTGTAATTATTTGTATAGTGTAGTATAAAATGTTATAATAATATAAAATAATTATTTTTTTTTTTTACTGCTTTCACTCAAACTGAAACTTAATCTATTTTTCAAGTTTGTTATTACGAATGAAAATTCTCTAATTAAACATCAACTAATTTGATAATTTGCCATCAGGACTTTCTGAGGAGGACGTGTTACAGTTGGGATCACACAGTAATGTAAACAAGATTTTTGCTTAACGAGTTATTTTTTTTTTTTTACTTTTCATATGGTCTTACGAACGCCAAAATCTTATACTGTTAATAGTAACAATTGGCCATTGGAGAGGGTACAGCCGCTTTAGTCGCCTTGAGGCTATGACAATGTGTCGGACATCTTCTAAAAAAAGGGCATAACTCAAAGTTTTTAACTTTTTTTTTTTTGATAACACAAAAAATATATATAATCATAACTATTTTAAATCTTATATAACGAACAGAAACAAAATTAAGCTACGACTTAGTAGGAGTTATCGATGTAAACTTACTAAATAAAAAACTCTGTGTTAATAGTTTTTTGACTGATAGAATGAAGCATTCATACTTTCTTAAATTACTTTTATTGGTAAAATGAAGTCTCTGAAAAATGTTGTAATTCTCAACGACACCGATCTATAGAGAAAATAAAACACATTTTTTGTTGATTGTGAGACATTTAATAGGTAAAATCGATGTTGTCTTCCCATAACACAAAAGTAGAATTAAAATAAAAAATGTAAAAACAAAGTTGTTAATTATTTCAACAAAATTAAGATTTTAATAATGCGCAATACAATAACGCAATAGCACCCGACATTCGTATCCGATTTCTCTATTTTTTCTTTAATATTTGAAATGGAAAACTTGTAAACATCTATTGTGCTAACGCGCTCTGGCGTTCATTACTCCAAATGTCACATATCTCATACTATCAGTAATAATTTGTTTTGTTTTAAAATAAGTACTTTTTTCTACCACATCAATTGATTACGCACGAGAGAGACAATGGTTATTCTATCATTACTATGAATTATACACATTTTACTGCGTAGACAATGTTATTCGGTTTTTATCTATTGATAAAACTTTGGTACATCGATTACTTTACTACAAAGATAGGTTCACTAAAAATACAACATTTGTAACTACGAAAAAGTAGAACACAGTTGTTTCACTAGTAAATTGTAAGGCACAGATAACAGAATGTAATGTATTACTATTATTACACTTATTGTTTGATTAAGTTTATTTTAAATTCAACTCCCAGCCTTTACGTGTCGTCATGTTAATCATACAATGCCTACTGCATTGTTTATTTTCTATTGTAAACTTGATACCATATGTGGAACAAAATGTAAGTACAAAACTACACAAATGCAGATGCCAATTGCATAAACATTTAAACACAAATACACGATCGGGTTCGTTCGTGGTGTTCTAGAACGCAAGTTTTTTTGTTTTTTTATTATCTCAGCGAGGAAATGCCGGTGGTTTAGAGTAGAAAAACACGAATGACCCACTCCGTAGAATCTATTAAAACAAAAATTACCCGGCTAAGTTTACTGTCCGGGTCATATATTTCACTACAATCAACTCTACGACATCTAATTCAGCTACTGATCTATGAAAAACGTACGCTACTCTAATAAGTTTTCGTTAGTAGGTCATTCGACACTCACCTTCCATCGGCAAAGTTCAGCTCGTGATTAATAGGTAACGAAAGTGAATTAAAACGTATTACATTAATTTTTGTACGGCATAAAAAAAGGAAAAAAATTGAACAGATACGGTTCATTGTCACGTAAACGTCATGTGATTGAGTAATAACTCATTAATGAAGTGAAAAAACGAGTAAATACATCACACTGTGTGGTTACAGCTCTGCGTGCGCAAACAGTAATCGTTAAGGAAAATACGTGTAATATTAATGTGATGCGCACGTTGAACGGAAAATCCTAAAAAGCCTAACACGCGTTTTGTACTACGATTTTTGCTCTCCTTCTCTTTTGGCGTTTCATTTTTTTCGTCGTTGCATGCAGACGTTTCGAGCGCGGAGCATTCCTGCGCATTGCCCCTGGCCGCCATTCCCCCGCCACCACCCCAACATTGATACTCCCTGGACGTTATCGATGCGCCCCGCAGTACACAAAACTCCGAATCCACGACACGA